TATCAGCCTGAAGGGGTTTATTCTGAGATAACAACTGTCTGGATGTACATTATCCCGCTTATTACACGGCTACTTGCCACATAAGTAAATAATTAGACTCGAAATATTGATTTGAGTTGAAATATTTGAAGGCAAAGCTTCCGTGAAGACAGCAGTTGCGAGCAAGCGGCAAATTCAAACTAGACGGACATTTAAGGGAAACGGTGCAGTCAAACCACTTATTACACAACATTTCACCACAAAAATAACTAAGGCAATAAAAGAATTAAGACGAAAATGTTTTAAAACCTTACCAGTTTGTTAGTTCTCTTATAATCCATTACAGCGTACAAAACAATCGTAGCAAAATGGCAGCAGCTGCGTTTGTATGAAACGAGAGCGAGTCCGCGATACCAGGATGACAATTAAATAATTGTAAACCATTTTGAATCGAGTTTTAATATTTTATTTGCTAAACAAACGCAAAGCTTCCACCAAGAAAAAATAGTTCAAGCAAGAGTACAGCGCGGACTGCTGTTACCCGGATGAGCCTGTGTTATTAGCTTTTACCGGTTGTTATCGAGGGATAGCATACCTCCGAATGTCGCGACTGACCAATCAGAATCAAGTATTCCACAGAGCCGTGTAATAAAATATGTATAATATACTATGTATAGTGTATAAATCTAAAATACAAAAGAGTATAAGTGTGTGTGTGTGTGTGTGTGTGTGTAAAATAAAATATAAAATAATTAGCTGTTAGATAACATTAGATAAATATAGTCGTTTATATAATCATAGGTGTATAAATGTATTACTATGTATAATAATAATTATTTTTATTTTATTCAATTCATTTTTTTTTCTATTTTAAAAATATTGCTGTTCAATCTTGCCAAACTTTTGAATGTATATAAATGATTTTATAATTATTGAATGTAATCTAACAGCTAATTAGTCTCTCTCTTTCTCTCTCTCTCTCTCTTTTAATCTGTAAAAAAAATAGCTGTTAGATTACATTCAGTAATTATATAATCATTTATACTAGGTATACAAATGTACAGTTAATTAAATAAAATAATTAATCATAAGTAAACAAATTATTTGTATTTTATTGTAGGAAATTACTGTTAGATTACATTCAATGTAATATTAATTATTAAATCAAATAATTTATCATAGTTAATCAATTTTATTTGAGGAAATACTGTAAAATTACTTTTCAAAAGTCTTTTAAAGGGCAGTTTTAAAGAGTCTGCCTTTTATTTTAAAAATGGCAAAATTTTACAGTTCATGCATCAAACTTTTTTTTGAGGCAGAAGTAATCCAAAGAGTTATGGGTTCTTAACTCCATATCATTTACAATAGAAATTGCTCACTATTATGCTCTTCTGAATTGCACTGTATGAAAAAATATTATTGCAGTGCTGATGAAGGTTAATGTGTTTCTCCCCATCAGCGATATTATATTATTTTATGGAAAGTATCGCATTTGATTTATGGCCGCTCTCAAAAGTCTTAGGTTTTTAGTCTCCTGTGCATCTCTTTTGTGGCTCTGTAATATTTTATTAAACTGGAAACATGAGCGTGAAATTAAGTTCTACAGGCATCATTTCTGAGTCTAACCTTTGCCGTGCACCAAAATTCAAAACACTGTAGGCTGAAATCTGAAAGGGAGCATCTGAAGAGACAGAGAGACACTGTCTTTCTTGAGCTCTTTAAAGTTTCTGTCATTCGCTTGAGCTGCTGAATGAAATGTTCCCGAGCGAACCTTCAGGGCAGAGTTTAAACCGTTTTAAAGAGGCTGCCTCGTTTTAAAAGTTACTCCATGCACCATCCATCTCGCCTTTCTCTGATGAACAGAAAAACATAGGAATGTCATGTGCGCACTGTAATCGCTCGAGACGAAGATGGCATTTAAGCTTCAAATTTGCATGTGAAAGCATGTCATGACATGTGAAATGTTGTGAAACCATACAAAAAGCACATGAATTAATCTGACATCTTTCTAAAGCATTCACAACCACATTCAGACCCTCCGTTTGTGAAAGTGAACAAAAACGGGTTTGCAGTCATGCACTTACAATGGATCTGAGGAAAGACTTTCTAAGCAGAAATGTGAAGCTTGTGTTTTTGTGACTGCCCTTACATGAATGATGAAGTTAAAAATAGTAATGTTTGATCAATAAAGTTGTCTAAATCACACTTTTTGATGTGGGACAAAATTTGTGAATGAAGTTCTGGTTTATTAACCATCATATTTCATTATGGATAGATCCTTTTGTGATGAATTGTTATTTTAACATATTAACCATATAAAGCAAACATACATTTCAAATGTCTAAGGCCTCTAAATTATCAACATGATCAAAACTTTGCTGGAAAAGCCTGTTTTATTTTATTTTATTTTATTTTAGGAAGTACTGTTAGAGAGAGAGAGAGATTCATTATTCATTCATTATTATACAATAATTTATGATAATATTTCTTTTATTTATATAATTTTTGTGTATATTATATTATTTATTTTATTTTTATTTAAGTAAGTATACTGTTAGAGAGAAGTAGATTCATTATTCATTCATTATTAATAAAATGTATTTTATTTATATTTTATTATTTCATCTTATTTTAGATATATTACTATTATATCATACAGGTGCATCTCAATAAATTAGAATGTCGTGGAAAAGTTCATTTATTTCAGTAATTCAACTCAAATTGTGAAACTCGTGTATTAAATAAATTCAGTGCACACAGACTGAAGTAGTTTAAGTCTTTGGTTCTTTTAATTGTGATGATTTTGGCTCACATTTAACAAAAACCCACCAACTCACTATCTCAACAAATTAGAATACTCCATAAGACCAATAAAAAAACATTTTTTACTGTACATGTACTCAATACTTGGCAGGGGCTCCTTTTGCTTTAATTTTTTTTTATTGGTCTTATGGAGTATTCTAATTTGTTGAGATAGTGAGTTGGTGGGTTTTTGTTAAATGTGAGCCAAAATCATCACAATTAAAAGAACCAAAGACTTAAACTACTTCAGTCTGTGTGCATTGAATTTATTTAATACACGAGTTTCACAATTTGAGTTGAATTACTGAAATAAATGAACTTTTCCACGACATTCTAATTTATTGAGATGCACCTGTATATCTGGCTTTAAAAATATTTTTTACAAACTAAAATGGCTCTTTTCAAGTGAGTCGCAAAAGAAGATTTCTTGAAAAATTATTTTTTTCCCGTACAGTGAAAGTCAATGGGGACCAATGTTTTAAACCCCATTAAATGGACAAATCAGTTGAAACGCTCTTTAAAATATCATCTTTTGCATGTTGTCGAAGGAAGAAAACCATGAAAAGAATTATGAAGGCGAGTGAATGGTTATATTTAACCTGAAATGATGTTTAACCTACAGTAGTAAGGAATATCACACTATTTTATCGTTTAACACTGATAATCAAGAGACAAAAGCTTTATTTTTAAGGTGTGAATCTAGTGTTGGCATTCGTGCTGCACGTTCGATATAACACTCCCCAGAATAACACGTACGCATCTGCTTCACAGACATGTTCACCCATGTCAACACATCCATGACATTTGTATTTACAAGCCTGCGATCCGGGGTTGTGGGTGAAAAAGCGCCGGTGCCCGATTCGCCAGCCGGTGAGTGGCATTTGTATTGCGGGCCGGTTCTCTCCTGCGCCACTGTTGCTGTGAATGCTGATGAGCGCAGCCTCTAGGGTTCTGGCTGACAGCCTGGCCTTTTGGCTGAGGAGAAATCAATCACACCGTCAATCGCCACCAGAAGCCATTACCCAGCTTGCCTGCTGGCAGGCTTCACCTCCATTCTTTCTACCATAACACGTTCTTATTTGTCTTCGTTACCTGGTCTTGTTTCACCTTTAGCGTCACCTCACAGGTTGGTAGTCGTTCACATCAATAGCTTTGGGCTAAAGCGGTTTTGGAGGTTGCATATGTATTGCTCCACCTTTGCTTGCTTTAATTGGTTCTGCATTTTCCGCTTTGCTTCAGGCAGAATTTAATGATTAACTCTCGTGAAAGAGTCAATATTTGCTTCTTTTGGGGCGGAAACATTTTTAGTTTTTTCCCCTGGCTTTTAAAGGAATAGTTTACTCAGAAATTAACATTTGCTGAAAATGTACTCACCATTAGGCCATCCAAGAGATGAAGATTGTTTCTTCATCAAAGCAGATTTTGAGAAATTTAGCATTACATCACTTGCTAACCAATGGATCCTCTGCAGTGAATGGGTGCCGTCAGAACAAGAGTCCAAACAGCTGATAAAAACATCACAATAATCCACACCACTCCAGTCCATCAATGAACGTCTTGCGAAGCAAAAGCTGTTTGTATGAAACAAATTCATAAGGTGTTTTAACTTCAAACCATCGCTTCTTGCCAAATAACAAGTCCATAATCCATAATAACTCTTCCTCCAGTGAAAAAAAATCCATCCTCTGTTGTTTTCTTGCATCAAAATCCAACAGCATGTTTGTTTAAAACTGTTTTGGATTGTTTCCGCTTGTAAACAGTAATTAATCTGTGCATATTTCTCTCCTGATTCAGGAGAGACAAGTTTTTCACTGGAGAAAGCAATATTATGGGTAGAGGACTCATATTTTAGCTCAAAGAAATGGTTTAAAGTTATAATGCTTTAATGATGTATTTGTTAATCTCAAACATACAGCTTTTCACTTCAATACATGTTAATTGATGGACTGGAGTCATGTGGATTATTTTTTCTGATAATATTTTTATCAGCTGTTTGGACTCTCATTCTGACGGCACCCATTCAGTGCAGAGGATCCATTGGTTTCTGTTTTGATGAAAAAAAACAAACTCATCTACATCTTGGATGGCCTGAAGGTAAATAAGTTGTCAGCTAATTTAAATTTTTGGGTAAACTATTCCTTATATTTTTGGCTCTGGACTAGAAAACGTGATCTTTAAAATCTGTCCTGCGTAACAGTTTGTTCTTTCTCTCCTTTCAGATCCCCCAGATCAGCTATGCATCCACAGCGCCGGAGCTGAGCGATAACACCCGGTACGACTTTTTCTCCCGGGTTGTGCCGCCTGACTCCTACCAGGCCCAGGCCATGCTGGACATCGTGACCGCCATGGGCTGGAACTACGTCTCCACGCTGGCGTCTGAGGGGAATTATGGGGAGAGCGGTGTGGAGGCTTTCGTTCAGATCTCACGAGAAAGCGGTAAGTTTCCAGTGAACATTCTGAAATGTGTTTCTGTACGAGGGCTCCAGATTATCTTCTGATGTACGTCTCGCTTCACTGATCGCAACTGATTGACTGAATTGAATTTCTTACCAAAAGTGCGACATGGCTTTGTGTTCAAGGGATATATTCGACAATTTGACAGCATTTTATTTTATTCCATTTTATTTTATTTTTGTTTGTGTTTTTAAAGGTTTGTTTTGTTTAATAATCCGTGTATCATTCGTTCATTCGTTTTTTGATGTAATATTGAAAGTAGAAAAATGAAAAAACGGCTCCTTTTTAGTTTTTTTTAAGAATTCAGCTTAAATTTTCGTTTTTCGTTCAGGGATAGAAAAATGAATAAACGGCTTGAATATTCAATTTCTACATGTGGGCGGGAATTAAACGCCCCTTTCTGCTGATTGGTCAGCCAAAGATCAAACCGTGTGGTCATCAGTTCTTCCGCAGTTTTCATGCAGCAGAATAATAGTCCTTCGCTGCTGCAGTTGTACGGATTCTTCGTACTACATTTAATATTTTTTCATCAAACAAGCAGACTAACGAATAGCTCGACACAACTCATACCGGGGCAGAGTCTAGACAGGGCTTTCTTCTGTGTAGATATAAATTATATTCCTAAAGTCACCATTCTCTGCCATTAAATTGGCAAGTGCGAGCAGGACATTTTTGTGTTATTAAGTAATAAGCCTTTAGAACAACATTAAGATGAGTAGTTACTCGAGTTCACACAGTTCCAATAAACTGCGATGGGTTAAATAAACTCAATAAGCAGACAGACGCAATTACAGTCAAGCGCAGACCAGTACTGAAGTGCACAGGAAATAAACAGCAGTCATAATTAAAGCAGTTTAAATATGCAGTTTAAATGAATATTGAGTACTGACTGATGTTCACTTGAATTTTTTCCCCATCGAGGGGAAATAACTTAATACTGTATAGTCATATGGTAAAATTTATATTTTTATTTGTGTAGCATTATGTTCAAAATAATGTACAAAATGTCATGCCTTTGAAAAATAAAGAGAACAACAGAATGCATGCTTTAGCGCGTCTCGGTCTCCTTGAGCATCTTTCTGGCGCATGCCACAAACATGAACCACAGCGAATATTTGTCTTTTAAAGGCTCGATTTAGATTATTTGACGTTAAATGCATCATATAAGTCACTTTGGAATAAATCACAGTATGTATCATGATAAAAAAGCGACTTTACACTCTGGAAAATAAGGTAGGCTCTAGCTAATTATTTTGCGGACCCTCTATCACTTTAAGAACCGCTGGTCTGCACAGAAGAAAGCCTGCCTCGGTAGGAGTTGTGTCGAGCTATTCATTAGTCTGCTTGTTTGATGAAAAAAAAAAGATGAAATGTGCAATAAATGCGTTAAGAATCCATACAACTGCAGCAGCGAAGGACTATTATTCTGCTGCATGAAAACTGCGGAAGAACTGATGACTGCACGGTTTGATCTTCGGCTGACCAATCAGCAGAAAGGGGCGTTTAATTCCCGCCCACGTGTAGAAATTGAATATTCAAGCTGTTTAATAATTTTTCTATCCCTGAACGAAAAATGAAAGTTTAAGCTGAATTCTCATTTTTAGTTTTTTGGGAAAAAACGAAAAGGAGCCGTTTTTTTTTTCATTTTTCTACTTTCAATATTAAATCAAAAAATGAATGAACGAATGATACACATATTTTTAATGTTTCCTGTTTTGTTTATTTGTTAAGTGTTTAGTTTTTTGTTTTATTTTGTTTAATGTTTTTTATTTTTTTATTTTAGTTTTCATTTTTGTTTCATGTTTTATTTCATATTTTGTTTTGTGTTTTGGTTTTAGTTTCATGTTTTCTTTCGTTTTATGTAAAGTTTTGTTTTGGTTTTTATTGTTTTGTTTCATGTTAATTCATGTTTTTGTTTTGTTGCTTTTTGTTTAATGTTTTGTTTTTGTTTTGTTAGTATTTTATTTTTGATTCATGTTTTGTTTTTTCCAAAAATGAAAATTCTGTCATTATTTATTCACTCTCATATTATTAATCAAAAAATGTGTTCCAGTAAAACAATTTAACAAAATACAGGTCTGGACTTATATGAAGATGAATAAATAATGACACTGTTTTCATTTTGGGTGAACTACTCCTTTAAAGAGGCTGTATGTGCTACTGTACCTTTCAGATTTCTATACATAAATTACCTCTGTTGCAGCATAAATCACATTGTTATTAATCAGGGATAGCCAAGCTGCTAAACAAATCGCTATTAATATGTAAATGTGATGTCAACATTTTGGCGTTTATAAATAACCTGTTTTTGTATGTAATGTATGTAGAGTAAATTATCTGGTTGGACTGGGTAGGGAGTTGCATTGAGAATATAACTAATGCCTACATAGTCCATAAAAATCTTGCTTCAAATAAGCAAGATTTTTCCCCCTATGATATGTCTGCTTTGATGCATTTTAAAAAAGGATCTTAAAAAAGTACATATTGCAACATACTGATTTATGGTACAAAGCTTCTTCTGAGTTTGCTGACCAGCATTGCTACACACAAAACATCAGTGAGACTGAATTACATGCTTTGACAGAGATGGAAGGGAAATCGCTGTCTCAACAGAAGAAAGGTCAAGTAACATGAAAAAAAAAAATCAGGCTACATTGTAAGGACACGTCTGAAAACCTCAACCCCCACGATCCATTCTGTCAAATCTGAGCCATCAAAGTCGAGCTGAGCTTATGTTTTGTTGTCCATTATTCAGCTAATTTACACAGAAATGAATAGTCAAGGAAATAGAAAGGTCAAGATGTAGAAGAAGATACAAAAAGTGTTCAGTTGTGACCTCAAAGAACTAGCCATTTCAGAACTAAAAATCTGTATTCACACTCACACCGCTTTGGATTTCTCTTAGTGCTGTTAACCCATAATTCACTTCATTTTACATCACATAGTTCGAACAGTAATGGCTGACATTCCCATTTTCCCTCCCACACAAGCCTGCAATAATATAGAGCATTACTGTTAGCACACGTCCAATGGAAACCACAATTACAGAAAAGCTTATCAATAAAGAAAGAGAGTTGAGGGAAAAGAGTGGGCCTTGATATAGAGACATAATTACAGGCACAGGTCCAGTAATGGACTCGCCGCGCCGTCCCAGAAGAACATCATAACCAACCACATCATGGTCACCTTGTGCTGCTTGATTGATTTATTATTGCAGTGTGTCTTGCTCATGTAGACACGGACATGCCACGTTAATTATGTTGTAATTATGGAAATACAATTAAAGGAAGAGACACATGTGAGCGATTAACATCGTTCCTCCAGGCTCATCAAGTGTGTTTATCCCCCTCTGTGTGTGTGTGTGTGCGCGTGCTCAGCTGTCTGAATGTAGTCTACGTGCTTTATTGGGATTTTAACAAGATCATGCATTTTTCTTTTATTGAATATGAGGGCTTTTATTTATTTATTTATTTAACTAAATAAATAAATTCAGTTGTTTTATATAGAGTTTATGCTAATGAATAATTTTTATGTTTTAAAATATTTTCTGCTAATGAATGTATACTAATTCAGACATGCACAAGAAGGCATTGTCATTTCAGATTTCTTATTTTATTGTATTTTTTATATATTTTATTTACAGATTCTGCATGGGGTTTGTAAACAGAGGGGCATATAAAATTATAAACACTAAATGATTACCACATTTATTGCTATAATATTTAAAGGTACTCTAAGGCACATTAAAGCAGGGGTTTTCAAACTGGGGTCAATAAAATATAAAAATGTAAGAAGAATTGAACAATATCAAATAAATGCAGAATTTTAGCTTATTAATGTTTCTTTCTGCTTTATAAAGTTTATTCAGTTCATTGAAAACTTAAATGTTATTTCAGTTAATTGTCAGGGAAACATTTCTAATTTTTGGGTACTAAAGTTAAGTAACTAAAATAAAAATAAATTAAACTTAAATATAAATATAAAAAAATAGATAAAATAACAAAAATGAAAAATGTCAAGAGCATGCCAAAAAATATTAAAACAAACTAACATTAGGATGAAAAATTAATTTAAAATGTAAAATTTAAATTTAAAATATGAATAAATACTATAAATAATAATAAAATAACACTGGACTGATCCTATTGATTTTCATTTGTCTTTATACATACAAATATATAAAATTCTTTATAACCTTTAAATAATTGTACTTATCCAAATATTATATATATATATATATATA